TCATGCCTTCATTTCCTCAGTAATTTCTTAGAAGTAAAGAATTAGGTAAGAGTATACTAATATTTGTAAGGTCCCTTTGATATCTATTTGTAAAGTGTTTGCCAGAATTAGTGTACTAATTAATATTCTCACCAAATTGTGTGTTCTAATACTGTTTTATGGTACGTTAAAGATGTTTGTGTTCTAAATTGTCCTTTATTTCCTTAATAATGTTGACCAACGTTTTTCCACATGATTATTCAACATTGAGATTTCCCATTCTTTGAATTTGTCTTTTATTCTTCTGGTCAATGAGTATAAGTATTATAATATTTTTATTCCCAATTATTATTTCTTCTTCTGTTATATGCTTGTTTTTAGATCTTGATATTTTTCTTGTTTGTATAAGTTGAAATTGCTTGCTTTTTATGACCAAGGTGTCAGATATTTATCCATTTTTATTTGTTTTCTGTTATAGTGTTTATTAATGTTGAAATGTAATTTTTTACTTAGGAAATACATAGATTTTTATCTATGAGTTTTATGTCTTTATATCTATGGTTTGAAAGATCTTTACTAGCCAGATACAAGATAAATATGCAGCTAGTTGTTTTCTGAGCTTTGTTTGAATTACTTAATTTATATACATATATATATATATATATATATGGCTCATATGCAAAGTGTCTCCCTTGGGAGTTCAATCGGGAGACTGGGAGTTCAATTGCTCACTATGATGTGTGCTGACCACCAGGGGGTGTCATGGAACAAAGGAAGGCCCCGGCTGGCAGCTGGCAGCCAGAAGGAAGGCCCCAGCAGGCAACCAGAAGGCCCTGATTGGCCCTGATCTCTGGCCAGGCCTAGGGACTCTACCTGTGCATGAATTTCTTGCACCAGGCCTCTAGTACATATATATAAAACTACATATATATATATGTATATCATTATATGTGATATATATACACACATACAGTTATATTTTGTGTCATCACTTTATGATAAACTGTGAAGTTATTCTAACTGCAATTATGCTGTTTTAATTTTGTAAATGTTATCTATTTTTTTAGATAAACTTTAAATATTGTCATTGCCATATGTTTACTTTTCCAGGTAAATTAAAGGGTTTTTTTTATTAAGTTTCCAATAATATTCCATTGAGATTTCTATGAAAACTATTTAAAAGCATCAATTGATAAAAATGAGTTAACTTTTTAAAAATTTATTCTCAGTTAGGATTCCTCAGTACTTATTTAATATCTATCAAAACTTTTTAATAGTTATTTTTCTTATAGACAGTCAACTCACTTCTATGATTTAAATATTTTTAGTATTTATATGACTGTACTTCTCCTTTGATTGTGCTAATTGGATTTGCCACCATTTCAATTTCTAGATGGTGAATGATAGTGTACAGTAAAACATTTTTTGAAAATACATTTTATATACAGTCATTTTGCTGATCTTATTATTTGTAATAGTGTTATTGTTTTTAATGGATTTTTAGATGTCTTAAGTAAAAAAATATATACATATAAATGTAACTTTTGAAAGAAATTTGTATGTTTTTGTATGTCTTAAGGCATTATTCAGAAAATTTAGATAACTCTGTAAAAATAATGGAAATAGTAAGCATCCTGTCTTGCTTATATACATATAAGTGTAACTTTTGAAAGAAATTTGAGTGTTTTTGTATGTCTTAAGGCATTATTCAGAATATTTAGATAACTATGTAAAAATAATGGAAATAGTAAGCATCCTGTCTTGCTTTTTTTTTATTTTGTTTATTTTAATGATATTAGCAACATATTGCATTCTAAGTGATTTATCCATGGCCCATATATATGTACAATATATATAGCCAATTTATAAAGGCTAAGCAACCATTCAACCGGCCGGTAGGTATGTCGCGCACTGACCACCAGGGGGCAGACACTCAATGCAGGAGCTGCAGAGCTCAGTAACTTGGCAGAGGTGGTTCTCAGGTGGCACACCCCGATTCCTCGCAGGGCCATGTGATTCCACCTTCGGCCACGGGTTATGTTGTTGCTGGGGCACTTTCAGCCCCGAATCCAGTCTACTGCACTCTCGCATTTGCGTTCCACACTCTACAACAGCAACTTTGCAGAGTACCCTCTTGCACTCAGGGACCCCTCAGGGAATGTCAGTTTTGGCCTGATTCTCACAGGCCAGACTGAGGGACCCCACCTGCCAGAGGGACCCCAGTCACTCCACAGATGCCCTTCGAGCCCTGGCGCTGCCCGAGGTGCAGCTGGCTGGGGAGGGACCGCGGGAGGTTGGCTCGAGGGTGTGTCCAGCCCATCTCGCCCAGTTCTGCCCTGCCGGCCACCTTCTAATTTTCTTTCAATGTGCATGAATTTGTGCTCTCAGGCCACTGGTTTAAATATATATTTAAAATTTATCTTTAGTGTTGAAAATATTACAGGTACCCCTTTCTCCCCCATTAACCCCTTCTAGCTCTCTCAAATCACCCTGAAAATTACTATTATATGCTTATTCACAAAGTTAGCATAAACAAGAACTTTATTTAATGTGCATCTAGCTATTAGCTTTATATATAGAAAAATAAGTCATTAATCCAATTAATAATACTTAATTATTTATACTAAACATACCTTGAACTGCAGCATGTCATTTTTGTGATATTTCACCTCCACACGAAGAGTTGAGATGGGTTCTGAAGGTCGCTTTATTCGAGCATTTGCAGTGTTCAGCTGGAGGTCAGCGGTTATACCCATTGGTGAATACGCAGTTGAAGTGACTAAATAAGGGTTGTCATTTCTAGGAAAGTAACAGTCAGGTGCTCTGGACTGAGTCTGAAAACACAATATATGTTTATTGACAGACACTGTAAGCATTGTAATATTTGGCTTTCAAAAATGTAAGGTAAACATGCTTAATCACATTTTGTTTGCTTTACAGATTGTATTGTATAATATAAAGTGAAATTGCAGTAGCAATATGAAATATCTATTATGTAACCAAAGATACCATGTACTAAAATGTTATATAAAATATTTGTATTTTAACTCTAAAGACAGACCAGTAGAGCAGAAGGATCAAATTTCTATTTTCAACTCAGAACATAGAATGATTGTGTAGTCTTTGCAAAAATTAAGTATATGACTCATAAATTTTGATCCATGCATGTTCTTTCTCTTCATACTGACTATTGCCTTTTGTGTGTTAAACAGCTCTGCAACAAATCTCAAAAGGGCAAGTACTTAAAATTATTTTCTTCTACTTATGCAGAACTGTATTATTTTTTATTTAATAACTGGTCCTTATATTGGTCAATTACATCTGGACCAGTACTTGAAATAAAAATACTGATCAAAGATCAGAGCTAATTGGTTTACATAGGGGTGAAAAATAGGATCTAAGAAAAACAATAATTGTGGCACTAACGACTAGTTGCCTTACCACAATCCATTATCCAATCTTTCTTATTTATTAAACTAGAGGCCCGGTGCATGGTTTCATGCACTGGTGGGGGTCCCTCAGCGTGGCCTGTGGTGATTGGGCCGAAACCGGCAGTCCAATTCCTCCTACCATTCCTTCCCACCACTCCCGCTCATCCTGGCCCTGCTGCGCCTGCCACAGGCTCATGCCTAGTCAGTCCCAATTGGGAAGCTCGCGCCACCACAGCGACGCTCACCAGCTGTAAGCCCTGTGTCTGGTGCCCATCGGTCAGTTAAGAAGTATTCCTGCTATGGGAGCACACTGACTACCAGGGGGCAGCTCCTGTGCTGAGCATCTGCCCCCTGGTTGGAAATAGTATAAAAACCTATAGACTTAGTATTCAACAAATCATTTTTTAAAACTGGGTTTATCCACATAATACCTAATTAATTAAAATTAATTAATTAAATATGTCTTTGAGTAGGTTTTATTTTATTTTTAATACTCAGCCCTGCCCCTCTTCACTCATGAACATCATACCTGAGATTTTTAAATCTGAGGTTCAGTGATATCAGAGCAATAGGCCCTTGAGAGTTTGTGTGATCTGATGCCAGCATTAAGTACAAATGTGAAATTGGGTGAAGACAAGGATCATTTTGAGGTACAGCCATCAGATACACCACTATTTTATTAAATGAAGTTATAAAATCTACATATGTCTCTCTCATAGTTTTCATAGTTTTATTTTTGCCTAATATAAATTCCTCTTTATCATTGTATAAATAAGTATTCTTATTTATCCTTCTTACTGTTAGTTCATCAAGATTGCTAATTTTTTAGTTAGGATGAAATCAATCTTGCTGTATAATTTACGGAAATAGTATAAAAACCTATAGACTTAGTATCTGAGATTTTTAAATCTGAGGTTTCAGTGATATCAGAGCAATAGGACCCTTGAGAGTTTGTGTTCTGATGCCAGCATTAAGTACAAATGTGAAATTGGGTGAAGACAAGGATCATTTTGAGGTACAGCCATCAGATACACCACTATTTTATTAAATGAAGTTATATTATCTAAAGTGCCTGAAAGCAACTTACACTTTCATTCAGTCTGGCATTTACTAAGCGAGATCTGGAAAATTAATAAAGATAAATTTTCTATCAGAATTCCTAATTTCAAATCCCAAATGCTTATCCAGACGAATTTAGTCTCTATGCTGTAGAATTAAAATTATAATATGTAAAGATTACAATGAAATGCTTATGTGAAAACCGTATCATGGTTCATAATTAAAATTCTTATTACCTGTTGCCATACACAGCCACGTTCTTCACAGCTTTTCTTGGTTGCAGCTTCTGCATCTGGATAACAATTAAATCTTTCATTTTCTGAGAAATTTTGATTCCACTGAACGGTAAAGTTTTTTCCAAGGTTAAACTTGAGATTGTAAATTAGGAGACTCTTTGGAGACAAAGAAAACATTAAAGATTATTTCTGACCATTGGACAATTTAAGAATATTTAACATTTATAAAATGCAGCAACCATAGTAATTCTTCAAATCAAGTCATAAGTAGTTTTAATATCATACTTAAAGAATAGAATAGAATGCCACTGAAATGGCTAGTGCCTCAAAACAGGAAAACTATGAGAATTATAGATACTCAGGTAAAGTATTATCTTAAATTCTCAGTTCTTTCATTTAATGCTCTTGAGTCTTGGGGAAAATGGTCTACCATCAACTGTTTCACATTTTTAAATGTCAATAATGACCCCTACTGAAAGGGGGTGCTATACAGAATGAATATGTAAACTTTAAAGCACCTAGAATAATGCCTGGAGCATACTAGGTATGAAAGACATGTTAGGTCTCTCAAGGAAGAAAAAGGTAAGAACAAACTGAGCACTTTGCTTGATACAGAGGCTCCTAGAGTCTGAGGAGGAAAATACTTATTAATACATATTTCTTTAATTTTGTCCTTAATTTTATTCATTGTTTGAAATATTTGAGGAACAAGTTAGAGGGGTCTTAATATGGC